GTCGGTCACATGACTCACATGATGACATGGAGACGCAATTTCCAACGCACACGTGGAACTCCTAGATTTCCTAAATTAAAAGTTTAAAACTCCACCACTACCGCATTCCCTCGATCTTTGATCTTCTCTCTGAATCACTCTCCATTCTGCTCGCCGTTTATAGCACCGATCCATTGTACCTCGACGATTTTCGCTCGTCGATCACCGGAAAATGGTGTCCTACCCCGGTACTCTCCGATTAGACAGTCTCCTTTCTTCGACTTTCCGGAGGAAATCGTCATCGAATGCAACCGTTTCTGCTCGACTGGTTTCCCTGTCTCCGCTTCCATCATCTTCTCCTCTACGCACTCCTAAATTGCCTCTCAAAATGATTCCGTCTTCGATTCCACATTCGCGTTTGTTCATCTGCAACTCCTCTTCTACCGCCATTGCCGAGCCCGAAGGCATCAAGGTACATCTATCTAAGCATAGGTACGTGCCTTTTGAATTATATATTGTATTTTATTTTCTTTACTTTGTTGCAGATTAGCTCAGTGTCTACCAAACCAATGGAAGGGCAGAAAACGGGGACGAGTGGTCTCCGGAAAAAGGTATTCTGTGTTAGTCTATTTCTGATTTTGATTGTTTCATTTTCATTTGTATTTCTTGGATTTCAGTTGATTTTCTGTTTGGCTGCTTAGGGAAAACGAAAAATCCAATATAATTTGTAGTTTGTTAACTTGGCAATGACTATGGCATTCTGATGATGAACTTCAGGCACTTGTTGATTTGTAATTGGTGATCCAGGGATCTTGATTATGCTTTCTGGTGATAGTATGGATTATGGAGTCCAATTGATCTCTTCTTTAATCTGTTCAATATTATTTGTGTAGGTTAAAGTTTTTATGCAAGAGAATTATCTTGCGAATTGGATCCAGGTTTGAATTTCTTCAATTTCTGTAGCATTCATTAATTATGTCAGTTGCTTCTTCGTGTTGCCTTGATGAGTTGGCATTTGTGTCTTTAGGCACTGTTTAATTCATTGCCGCCAGAAGATTATAAGAATGGGGTGTTGGTGTTAGGAGGTGATGGTCGTTACTTTAACAAAGAAGCTGCACAGGTTATTTTCTTTGTTGCACTTAATTAAAGCGTGTTTCTAGTTTATGGTTCGTATTTGAGGGAGGAGTTTTCCTGTTCACAGTAAAACAATGTCATCCATTGTGCATAGTTGCATGTGAAATTCCTTATGGGTGCATAAATGGGACATTTGTTGCTCTTGTGGTGAACAGGAATAGGACTTGGGCTAGACTTGTTCCAATTTATGCATGAAATTAATTTTGATCATTTGATATTTGGATTCGGAGTGCAGATAATTATCAAAATTGCTGCTGGAAATGGTGTTGGAAAAATTTTAGTTGGCAAGTAAGTGTTCCTAACTTGTTGGTGTCTTGACTTGTCCATTGTTCATAAGAAGAATGGTGTTGCAAGAAGATTATTTGTTAACACCATACAATGCAAACAACTGAGGCCCTTGAGTTAGACATTTATTGGTGCGTTAGATTAAAACTGTTAGTAGAGTTGATGGATAGAGAATTTGATCTTATTTGATCTTTTTTCTTTCTTTTCTTTTCTTTTTTGATTTATTCCAAATGAAAAAAGTTAACGTTATTCTGTGTCTTCTAGGGAAGGTCTTATGTCCACACCAGCTGTTTCTGCTGTGATTCGGAAGAGGAAGGCAAGCATGTACTTCTTTTCATCTCTGTGTTCCTGTTGAGATTTCTGTGCATTGTGTCAAGGTTTCCTAATTAATAGTATATTTTTATAGGCCAATGGTGGATTTATCATGAGTGCGAGCCATAATCCTGGAGGTCCTGAATATGACTGGGGTATCAAGGTGTATTGCTAATGCCAACTCTGGTGGAAATCTAGTTAAATTAACTTATGATACCTTACATAAAACTTTGGTTGCATTTGTTGGTAATGCCAAATTACTGGTAACTTTACTAGTTGTTCTTTTCTGAATTAAAATGTTATTCTTTAATATTTTCATTTGTAGTTTAATTACAGTAGTGGACAACCTGCTCCTGAATCCATCACTGACAAGATTTATGGAAACACGCTCTCTGTAAGTAATCTAATTTTATCATTGAATGCTTTGTTTAAACCTGGGCCTGAAATAATCATTAGCAATCAGGTATATCTCTTATACACATTTCTATTCTGAGGATATTTTTGTTGTCAATGAATCATAAATCAACTGTATTTTACTTGTGCCTGAAGTGGGTCTTGGTATGTTTTGGATTTGTCCTAGATTCAACTGCAATGGTGTGTGTTTTCTTCTTCTTCCTCCCTTTTTTGCTTTTAGGTTGAGAAGGTAGGGGGTGGTTGGGGAAGGGATGATTGTCAATCTCAAGTCTAAATAAACAAAATTGAATGGGAATGAAAGTAACAGTCATGATCTTTGTTGATGCAGTAAGAATCCAACCATTTCCATAAGTTTCAAATCAAGTTTTAATGAAAGGTTAGCTTGAATGCTTGATGCAAGTTCAATACTGGAGTTAGTTGTGATTTTGGTTTACAACTGCATTCTTGACATTGGACCTTTTTTTATTTGTCATAAACCTCAGTTTCTAATGGTTTTCCATTTAAATGGTGTTCCTTTTGTTTAGTTAATACATGTGAAGTTTCCTTAAATAGACAATTTGTGCTTCTTGCTTATGAAACTGAATAAACAGAGGAGAACTAGATGGCTCTTGTGATCAAGTTATTAACAGATTGTCTACTTGGTTTCTATAATGGAATTGCTATATAATCTTTGTCATTGCATATGTCTGGTTGTCAAAATTTTGTACTGTCATTAGATATTATTGTTAGTTGATTTGTTTCTGCATTATAATGCAGTATCAAAATTATATAATCCTGCTTTAGTTTTTGAAATAAGTTAATAATTTGCAGATCACTGAGATTAAAACAGCAGAGATTCCTGATGTTGATCTTTCTTGTCTTGGTGTTACAAAGTATGGGAACTTCAGTGTTGAAGTTGTAGATCCAGTTTCCGACTATTTGGAATTAATGGAGGTCTGTAACAAAATATCAATCAACTCATTCTTTGTAATGTTAGGATGATGATTTGTGCTAATTTTTTGAATCAGTGATTTTGTGGTTTTGTCTGCAGAGTGTGTTTGATTTCCAACTCATCAAAAGTCTTCTCTCAAGATCAGATTTCAGGTACAAAATTTGTAGCCTTTACTAGTCAGGAGAAGTTTTGACCTTAGTTACACTAGGTATGTTTGTTCCTTTGTGTCTTTCTCGTGCATTGCTTAATGCAGTCCTTTGTCCTATTTGCTTGCTAGTAGATGAAAACTTGCTAGATGTGTTTGTGAGACAGACCATATATATGCAATTATCATGAATGTTCTTTAAGGTAATCCACCAAAAGGGAAATAGATTCTAATTAATTAGCAAGAGTTTGAATTTTTTTTCCCATCTAGACCAAAGATTTTGGATATGTATCAGTTATCGTCCTTCTGTTATAAGCTTGATTTCTGTTCCAATATAAACAAGCCCACTTATCTCACTTCACAGGCATCATTCATAATGATTAGTTTACTTTGTTTTGAAATCAAATTAAGAATACTTTTTCAGACTCAGATAATTTTTGCTTTGGTCCAATGGTTAGGAAAATGTAGAGGCCTTGGGAAGTCCCAGGTTTAAAACCCTCCACCCCAAATATCAAAAATAATGAAAAAAAAGAAAGAATTTCAATGTTTTGGGAACTTCCTCTGTGCTTTATATCATGTTTGCTCTTCACTTGCTGAACTTTTTCAATTTCTGATATATAATAATAGTTTTAACAATTTTAAATGTTTATAGATATTTCAGTTTCTTTCTTTAGTTATATGCATTGATACAATACTATTTTTCATGGCCTTGATTATATCATAAGTTCACATACTTGAGAAAGATTAACATATTTGTCCCTCTTATGTACTCTATCGGTTATTACTTTTTAGGTTTACATTTGATGCCATGCATGCGGTTACTGGTGCATATGCAAAACCCATCTTTGTGGACAAGCTAGGAGCCAAACTGGTAGGTTGTGCATGTGAAATATCTTTAAAATAATTTAACCAAACTTTTACTGAAAACTCTGATGAAGATGTTCGGTATGTCGTGTAGGATTTCATATCAAATGGAGTGCCACTTGAGGATTTTGGACATGGTCATCCAGATCCTAATCTGACGTAAGAGAGTCAACTCAGCTAATGATGCATATCCCTTGCTATGATGTGAAAATGTAGTTCTTTCTGACTTTTATTAAAAGGCAGGTATGCTAAGGATTTGGTCAACATTATGTACAGCAAGAATGGACCTGATTTTGGAGCGGCCAGTGATGGTATCTTGGGTGACTATATAAGAAAGAACTACTCTTAAATGTTCTATTTACTCATTATTTAAATCATTTGCAACTTATTTACCTTTTCAGGAGACGGTGACAGAAACATGATTCTAGGTAAAAGATTTTTTGTTACTCCTTCGGACTCAGTTGCTATTATTGCTGCCAATGCACAGGAAGCCATCCCCTATTTCAAGAATGGTCCTAAGGTGGGGAACACATGCAGCTTTTATTTATTTGTTTTTCTTTTTTCAAACTAAAATTTAAACTTAAGCTTCCAATTTTCAGGGTTTAGCACGGTCTATGCCAACAAGTGGTGCCCTTGATCGTGTTGCTGAAAAATTGAATCTTCCATTTTTTGAGGTTAAGAACAACTGATATATTTTTACTTTCTTGCAATGCACACAGTGAACTTGGAGCAGGTGGATTATATCTAAAAATGTAGTTTATTCTAACAAGCTGTGGGAATTCTTGTGCTCAGGTTCCCACAGGCTGGAAATTTTTTGGAAATCTTATGGATGCTGGCAAGTTGTCAATTTGTGGGGAGGAAAGTTTTGGTACAGGGTCTGATCACATCCGTGAGAAGGATGGGATATGGTAACCATCTTCTTTTTCTATTGATTAAAATGCTTGAAAGTGATACTATTCTTAATCATTTACCTAATAGGCTAATGTATACTGGTTTCTGTTCTCCCAAAATGACAGGGCTGTGTTAGCTTGGCTTTCAATTATTGCATATAGAAACAAAGACAAGAAACTGGGGGAGAAATTGGTTTCTGTCTCTGATGTTGTCAAAGAACATTGGGCAAAATATGGAAGAAACTTCTTTTCTAGATATGATTATGAAGTAAGCACCACAAATTCTTTCTGGAATCTGGAAAACCATGCTCAGATTGAAATCTTAGCCAGATAACTTCTAGACTATCAGAGATTAAGAATGTGCAGCTCTTTAATTAATATGCATGGATTCCTCTCAGGAATGTGAATCTGAAGGAGCTAACAAAATGATAGAACATCTTAGAGGTCTCATCTCGAAAAGTGAGGCTGGTGAAAAGTTTGGTAAGTTTTTGGTGAAACTTGCTCTGGTGCCAGTGCCACCCTTCATTATGGTGTTACTGATGTTTGACTGCTTAGTCTTTCTTCATTGTAGGAAATTATGTCCTTAAATTTGCAGATGACTTTACCTATACAGATCCTGTAAGTTTTAAGCAAGACTTTTGTTTTTAATTCCTAAAATGTGATTTCTTTTGAGTAGCCGTCTTCCAAAGTTTTTCTTCCCTTGATGTGTCTATCTTTAATCTTGCCTAAATGTTTAGGTGGATGGAAGTGTTGCATCAAAGCAAGGTGTCCGGTTTGTTTTCACAGATGGATCAAGGATCATATTCCGTTTATCTGTATGCTGCCTTTCTTTATCTTCCATCTTCTGGAATTTGAAAGTTTTCAACTGTGATGTGACCATAACTTTCTTGCATACAGGGAACTGGATCAGCAGGTGCAACCATCCGAATCTACGTCGAACAATTTGAGCCTGATGTTTCAAAACACGAAATGGATGCCCAAGAAGCACTGAAACCATTAATAGGTTAGTTGCTCTTGTCTTTTTTCCGATTCTATTGGTTTTCTCATAAATGCATCCTTGTGTTTCAGATTTGGCGTTGTCTGTATCCAAACTGAAAGACTTCACAGGAAGGGAGAAACCTACAGTCATCACATAAAGCATAGAAAGGTTGGACATTCCATCTTTCCTGCCCCAGTTTATGTCACACGTTATTTTATTTCAGTTTTGCTTGTATGCTATCTAATCTGGAATAGTGGGACAATAAATCACTCAATGTAGTTCGCGCAAATTAAAGCTATGGAAGTAAAATATATTCTTTTAGTGTTAGTTTTGATGAAAATTTACTGAAGTAGATTGCAAAGATATAAAGTTGTGAGATGTATTTAGTAACACAAGTGACAGTTGAAAAGTCTTCAAGCTTGCCCTCTTCCAATTTCTAAATATGAAGCCGAATTTTCTGAATTTCTTTGAAGTTTGATCTGAAATCCCCTATATACTGGAAAAATCTCCCCTCCCCTTCTATCTGATCCAATTTTAAACATCAAGGCGGTCTTACCTTTATGTTGAGTGAGATCCTCTTACCATCAAACAATGGAAGAATGAGACATATTAAAACTCTTGACATTTGAGCAGACTAAGGACCATACGGCATAACTGAAGCATTTTTTTAAGTGTCCACATAAATCATTGGTAAAAATTAAACTAACCGTGAACTGGGGGTTTGGTTATGGTGACACGGTATAAAGTTGAGGCTATATGATATTGATTTTGAAAATATACTGATTCTGTTTAAATTGAAAAAGTAGTTAATATTTATTATTTGAGAAATTGATTTTGATAATTGATAAAAAGCTAATATTTATTACTTGATAAATTGAAAATAGCTTGAGTTTATATTTTCAAACATTATAATCAATTGTTTAAGAAAAACAATTGCAAACTAATAAAATATCAGTCATACTAAGGTTTTGTTTAATAATATTTTTTAGTATTTTACTTTTTAGTTTTTATGTCCTTTTATTATTTTAAAAACATATAAAATGTTAATTAAAATAAATACAAAATATATAAAATATATTATATATAATTTTAAGATATTAAACAACTAAAAATCTTACGATTGCAATTATAGATAGTATTATTATTAAATTAAATTTAAATAAAATTTATTTAGCTTCGACAAATTTATGTGTTGCCATTCCAATATCCATTAACTTGACCCAACACACCCAGTTGCGAGTTATGGGTAAGATTTTCTGACCCATTAACCTGTTTGACCCATGAGCCGACCCAATTTGTTTGCCAGATCTACATTTTCCACAATCCAGTTCTTCCTAATATTCGTAGTTTGTGATTAAGCTCCTCTTCCTCGCGTGAGGTAACCATGCACTTATGCACGTAACCTTGTTGGAAGAAAGACAAACTCTTACCACCGACTTTGCTACAACTTGCTGGAAAAATAGACCCATATGTGGTACACGTATAAGCTCCTAAAATAGATGTTGGGCATGATGGGCACCCCCTCGTCAATATTGCATCAAATTCACTAGTTACAATCATGTAATTCAGTGTGAACAATCAACATCAACAGTTGCTGCATCAAAAAGCAACTGGTTGAAACAGATACCATCTAAAGACACAACATAGTGGTGTATACAGAGAAGTCAGTTTTTCATTTCAAAAATATGAATTCGTAGGTTCCATTGATTGGTTCAGTTCAAGTTCATCCATTGTCCGCTTACCGACCGATCATTATGGTACAACTAAGACAAGCATATGGTATGATACACCAGAAATACTGTTCCTCAAAATCTGAAAATGCGAACCAGCACAAACTCAACATGTCCCAAAACTTCCAAATTCCAATTATCTAATATCTGTCACCTCATGGCTCTTGGCTCTTGGCTCTTTGCTATTTTGCCTTTCTCAAAATGTGACTTTGCCTCATGGTTGTAAATGAAACTTCAATGACCATTCTAGAATCATATAATCAAACTACTAAATGATATTGCAAAGTACTATTTATATCACTAGAGTGCGGGAAAACCTGAATACCCCACCCAAACCAATATAAAATTCCAAGAGAATGTGCATATAAGGTAGTACTTGAACTTGTAACCTTACCTTATCACCAATGCTTCAAATGAACTTTCTCTTCTGTACCCATTTTCAATATTGCAGTTACATCATTGAAGTGTGTTCCAATACTCTGAATTGCTTGGTTTCATAATGAGTATCATTAGATCTCTGATAATATATGTGAAAAATATTATCAACTTTGAAAGTGCAATGACATGACAGACTCTTTTGTGACAAGGAAAGGAAACTGTTTCAAATGAAAGCTTATGTAACACATGACTCATCAAAAATAGTGGCAGAGAGATATGAAAAGACCAGGAGGGGCCACGGTCCCCCTTGCTCTTTTGAAAAACTCTAAAATTAGTCCACAAACTTTTCATTTTGAAAGATCATAATCTTTAATTTTTGTTTCATTCACCTTATCTTAATATTTATGAAAATAATTACCATTAGTTTTGTTCCTTAAATCTTGTTATTAACTTCAAAACTAAATATTAACATAACAACTCTTGGTAAAAAAAAATGTTGACATGACAATTAGTGTGTCTTCAAACTAATCTATTAAATATAAAAAAATTTCCCTTTATAATCTCTGATATTTTTGGTTAAAAATTTGACAAAAAAGCGCTTTCAACTTCTAAGATTTTTCCTTTGCTTGGTTTCCTTTGAAAAACCCTAGATCATCATCATCTTTGTAGTGCAAAAAATTAGTATTCAATTGAGTCACAATATTTGTTTTTTTGAGAGGCTTAAAAATTGAAACTTTACTCCAACTTCAGAATTTTCTATTGAGTCAAATTTCTTCTTCTTTTTTTTTTTTTCATTCAATATTTGTTTTTTTGTGAGGCTTAAAAATTGAAACTTTACTCCAACTTCAGAATTTTCTATTGAGTCAAATTTCTTCTTCTTTTTTTTTTTTTTCATTTACTATTTCAATTTTTTATATGTCTTTGAGGTTATTACATACTTTTTTACTTGGGTTCTATTTTATTCTCTTTTTTTTTTTCTTCACAAAAAAAATGGCAAGCATTCACCAGTCACCAAAAGTCCTAAATGGATGGTATATTTTACATTGAGCATAGCAAGTTTACAATCACTATTACCTTTTTAACTTTAAAATAATGAGTAAATATTTGAAGTTTAAGTTTGATTTGAGCATCTCCAAATTTGACCCTCTCATATTAAGCCCTGGCTCTGCCACTGTTCATCACCAAATTATTCGTCAACTGAAAAATATTTCATGTTAGTCGGCATCTGAACACTTGATTATTTAGCTGAATTGAATGTCACTAATAGAAGAAAACGAAAAACATTGACATTTGTCACTCAAAGGTTGATGCATGAAAGTGTAGAACAAATTGGGAGTTCTCTGCTCATTTTGACCAAACAAGCAAGAAAATGTATGTTAGGTGAGTATGTTTAGGGGCCGTAAGAGGCAAATTTTCTCTTCTTTCCTTTGAGATGATAGCATTTATGATCTTACCATTAAACAGGGGATACCCCATTGTGCATGTCAATCAGTGTCAAAGCATACTCAAAGCTAGACACTTCTCTTTGTCTGGGATTTTCTGTTTTCAGCATCTTGAGCCCAGGTGCTGAGAGAAAGACTGTTTCCTCTGGAACTGAAATTCTAAAGAAACAACAAAAAAAATGATGGATTTGATCAACGAAAAGAGACATTATTTATGACTGAATTTGGACTAGGGGTTCAGTTGAGTAGAATATTTTCTTGGCTAAGAACAACATACTTTTGGTTTCATTGACACATAGCCCCATCTTTTTTCTTCAAAAATCAAATACCAAATCAATCTGGATTGTCTCTGCCCCCCATTTGTAATGTAATGTGATTAAAACCCACCATCAAGACCCACCACAAAATAATGGTATAGACAGAGGAGGGAAGAGCAAACACTTTTCAGAGCCTGATTATCTAACGGTAGCTTTTGTAATAGTTTTGTTTAAGTAGATCTTTTGTAAAAGTGTGAAATTTCCTTAATTCATATAAAATGTTCATAAAAATTTTTAGAAGATGATAAAAATTATCAAATTTAGAGCCTAACAGAAAAAAAAAAAAAAAAAATTCTTTTAGAGGCAATAGGCTTGGAGTTTCAGCAAGCTAAAACTATCTTTTGGAAAAGAAAAGTCTTTTTTTAGGTGAAATACATTTAAAAACTTTTGCTTGACGTAGGAAAAGACAAAAGTACTAGATTCATTAAAGATATTTTTATCTTTCGTACTCCATACGGATGATTTTAAGTGCAGAACCAATTAGAAAAAATAATCTAAATTGAAAAATTTAGAAATTTTTTTTAGAAAATTGTGTTTAACTCAGTCTTAATTTTTACAATAGAGAAGACCTTTTTCAAAGCTAGTGCCAAATAATGTGATAAACAAGAGGGTGGAATTTGGCTCTGTGCTTGTCCGCATTGTGATACACTCTATCTATAGTCGTGAATAGATCCAACCTTGTTGGGTCTATCAAACTCATAGGATTTGCTGTTAGGAGAGAAAACTTGCGAAGTTTTGGCCCACCTTTTATCTGCATGCCCTTGTGACTACTCCACCATCATGTTAGTTGCCTGTGGTTATGGACCTTGTTGTCCCCTTCTCTTTCACTTCCTACCCCATTTTCCCCTGTCCTCTAGTGGGTAATGAGGGATTTGGGCAAATTTTTGGAGTTGAGATAGTTTTTCTAAGTGACATAATACTGTGAAATGTGTTGATTTTTTTTAAGGAAAGTTTGAAGTCTAAGAGCTCTCGATTCAGTATCTGATTTTTTTTCTTTATTCTTTGGTAATGGGTGAGCACCAATATGAGAGGGAAGAAAAGTGTAAGCATGAGTGACAAAGAAAATTTTGTTTAAGTCAGAATGCTCTAATTTTTTGCCAAAAGTCAGAATGTACTAGACTAGTAGTCAAAATGCACATTGATACCTTCTTTTTTAAGCTAGTGATATGTCAAACCTTCTTTTTTTTGCTAGTGGCATATCAACAAATTCTGTACTAGAGCATTTGTGACTTTGTTATTCATGAACAGGCCATTGTCTCACTTATTAAGTCAAAATAAGTGGCCAATTATCTATTTGTTAAGCATAACTTGGTTTCTTAAATAGAGGTTTTGATTTCAAGTAATATTATATGCAGACATGGTAGGTAAAATGATGGTAGGAAGTTATTTCAACATTTTATTGTGTAAGATACAGTAAGTAAAATGACGGTAAAATGATCGTGACCATTTATAAGGAATCAAATGTTGATTAACAAATTTAATTTTTTAGGGCATTATTGTAATTGATCAATCTTGCTCACAATATGCTGTCGGTGCGTGCAAGGAAA